ATTGATCTGAGTTCAACTGGTTGCAATCATGAGGTTGAAGGCCCTTCTTCCTTCTACTGTATGTAAGTATCTCTTTCTCTTGCCTGCTGGGATCATCAGGAGCATCAGCTGAAGCTGGAGATGTAACTGGCACAGCGGGAGTCTCACTAGGTCGACCCAGAATGTTACAGCTAGGAGTAGTGGAASGTGATGAAAGGGGAACAAAAAAGGAGGGAGAATGAGAATCCTCTTCCATCCCACTAGTCTCCCCCTGAAGAGGATTCTAAGAAGATTGGAAATAGGGTTGAGACTCAAAAAAGACTACATCTCTAGTGACATATTTTTTCTTGAATACAGGATCATAACACTTGTACCCCTTTTGCGTAGGAGAGTAACCCAAAAAAATCCCCTTTGTAGCCTTAGGATCCAGCTTGGTTTTCTTTGGATCCTTCACATGTATGAAGCATGTACATCCAAAAACCTGTGGGGGAAGAGGAAATTCTAGAAGAGTGGGACACAACACAGAGAAAGGGGTCTTCATACCCAGTACCTTAGATGGCATCCGATTTATCAGGTATGATGCAGTGAGAACAGCTTGAGACCAATATTGCTTTGGCACATTGTGCTGGAAAAGTAGAGCTCGAGCTATCTCCATTAGGTGCCTGTTCTTGCGCTCAGCAACTCCATTTTGCTGAGGGGTGTAACCACATGATGATTGATGTAACATGCCTTCGTCTTCCATGAATGAGTTCAAGGATCTTTCAAAATATTCAGCTGCATTGTCTGAACAGAATTGTTTTATCTTCTTATCAAATTGTGTTTCAACCATCTTGCAAAACATCATAATTATCCGTGGAACTTCTTCACGTCCTTTTAACAGATAAATCCAAGTGCACYGAGAATAATGGTCAATAAAACTGATAAAATAACGAAAGCCATCAATGGAGACAATAGGTGAAGGACCCCAAACATCAAAATGGACCAAATCAAAAGGGGCTTGAATTTCATTACTAGAAATTGGATACATTGATCTGCATTGTTTTGACATTTGACACACATCACAAACTAAACTTTGACTCGGATTGTCCTTACATAAATCGGGAAACAACATTGCTAAAGAAGAAAAAGACAAATGACCTAGCCTAGCATGCCACAAGTGCAGCCTAGCTMTTGACTCCACACTTTCTGGACTAGTAGTAGCAGAAGCTTGCAGTGCTGAACTGACATCTGCATCAAAATAATAGAGGCCCTCATACTCATGACCACTCCCAATCGTTCTCCTCGTCGATCTGTCATGGAAAACACAATGAAAGGGAAAAAAAGTTATATTGCAGTTCAAATTTCTTGTAAGCTTWGAAACAGACAACAAATTTGATGTAAGACTAGGAACATGTAAGACTGATTTAAGAGAGATCCTTGCTTAGGTCAACCACTCCCTTTCCCGAGATGGTGGAGAGGGACCCATCAGCTACTCTCATCTTATCCTGGCCAGACAATAAATGATATGAGGAGAATAATGAGGACATATGTGTCATATGGTCAGTGGCTCYTGAGTCAATCACCCAAGAGCTAKAATTAATGGAACTAGTTGCACTAAATGCAGAGGTTGTACCTGATTTGGCAAGAGAGGTGGAAGCTAAAGGATTGTTCTTCAGACGGGCAAATGCCCGGCTGAGAACCTCTACCTCACTAGCTGTAAAGCCCAAGGTACTTGGTCCAGAGGAATCAGYAACCTGCTTTGTGGTGGAAGAGGACACTGGTTGAGTACTCTGTGAGATGTCACTACTGCTGTTGGTGGCAAGATTCCCACTTGTTATGTGGCCCTTATGTTACATTTTTTCCTTTCTCAGAGCAGCTGGATTCAGATGAGGGTACAAGACCCAACATTTCTCCTTTGTGTGTTTCTCACCACCACAATGGGTACACTTGAGGGACTTCTTGTCTGAAAATCTGCTTCCCTTAGTGGAGACTAAGGCTGAATGTTCTCCAGATAGTTCTGTTGCTTGTGTCTAGGAGTCAACCTGCATCTCCTTTCTCCTTACTTCTTCATTCCTCACCAGGTAGTAAACATGATGAAGCTCAGGTAATTCATCTTTCCCTAGAATTTGTGACCTTACACCTTCATATATAGGGTCTAAGCCTGCTAGGAACTTGAAGGCTCTGCCCTTCTCAATCTGCTTGTCATGGCTCTCCTTATCCCTGGCATTTTTCCAATCCAAAGTCATGTGATGGTCAAGCTCTTCTCAGAGACCTTCTAGTGTTGCAAAGTATGTTGCCACAAACATGTCTCCTTGCCTTAGGGCTGCAATGTCTTGGTTCAGTTTGTAGATTCTAGCATTATTTTTCTTTTGGCCATATGTCTTAGATACTTTCTCCCAAATTTTAGTGGCTGTAGGAAAATGATGAACAATTCTGGCCACCCGAGGAGTCATGGAGGCCAGCAACCAAGACATAACTGTGGCATTTTCCTTGCGCCACACAGTGTATTCAGGGCTGCTGATTTCTAGTTCCTTTTTATCTCCATCCAAATAGCCTATGAGTTCATGAGAGGTAATGAACAGTCTTGCTGAGACAAACCACTTTCTAAAGTTATACTCATCCAATAGCACACTTGTAATCTGCAAGCTATGCAGATTAGGGTTCTCCAGGTTTGAAGACCTTATAAGAGGTCTGTTATCTTTAGAAGAAACTTCACTGGATAGTGATGACATCCTAACTTCGGTGAAGGAGTTGTTCACAACACTGTTTGGTGGTTCTGGTTAGGGCTAGCTGAAGTAGTCATAGAGTTCACAGTGCAGATAGCACACCAGATAGGCTTCACTTGGACTAAACCAGTTCGGGTACAACAGCAAGGAAAAAGTCTGTAACTGAACCAGTTCACAGAGATGGAGTAGGGCTAGTAACCGACCTGGAAATGATCTATAACTGAAGTCACCACAGTTCTGTAAAGGTCTTTCTGAACCAGTTTTGATGCAGGTTCTGATTAGCCGAAGTAACCTCAGCAGCCCTGATAGCTCGCAACACAGTTTCAGACTTGCCGAGATTGTCACAGTTCTGATGCAGTTCTATTACAACAGCAAAAGGTGTTCTGGGCTGGTAACCGACTTGTGCTATGCAGACTCAACTTGAACTTCGAGTACTGCAACTGTAAAGGGAGTTCCCCTCCTTACAGACAACACTAGGACTGCTGAAATCAGTCCTCAACTAGGTCTGTCCTATACAGACCTCTTCTTAGNTTTAGCACGTAAGTGGCGCCTCCCATGGACTGGTCTGAGCCAGGAGAGTGCCCCGGCCATTGGACTTGAGGTCATGATCCAGTGCTACTGACGTTGGTGGAGCCATCCCATCGGGCAACTCCTAGCCTCTAAGCGCATTTTCTTCCACTGTAGAACTACCCCTGTGACAAAGTGGCGGCATGTTGGGGGGCAAAGTTGTCAATTGACGAGTTAACTCAGTCTTGACGAGCTGTGAGCGGAGCTAGTCTTGATGAGTTACGAGCTGACTTGATCCTGATGAACTACGAGTTGAGCTGATTCTGACGAGCTTCAAACTGACCTGATTCTGACGAATTGATCTAACACCAACTCATAACATGCAAAAGCAACACGTGGCTGAGCTGATTAGAAAATCAATGCTAATGCACTCCATGCAGGTCCGCTGCCTACCATGTTTACACAACATGTTAACTGAGGGCACGACAAGTGGACTGAGCTCCAATAAATAGTTGAAATCCCCATTCATTTGGACAATTGAACATGGTAGTACACTACCATGAACAAGGCACGCTGGACACCTCGACACATGGAGCTCACCAGCTCCCCTAATGAGCTCTTCTACTCATCACATGGAGCTCACCAACTCCCTCAACGAGCTTTCTAGCTCCCCTTTCAAGCTCTCCCTCTCTCCTCATGAGCTCATTAGCTCTCCACACGAGCTCTCACCTCACCTTACTAAGCTCTCCAGCTCACCTTGTTTTCCCTTGACATTAATGATTTAACCATCGAAGTCCACACCCTTGGGATCACTCAAGGCCTCTGACGTCTTGATGAGAACGAAAAATATCATATTTTTCTCCCTTAATAATTAGCCTTTTATGTTTATTTTATGCCCAAATGCACTCATAATTCTTATATTTTGGTTTAAGGCACGAAAGGAGGCGTTAGGTGAGAAACAAGGCTAATCGGGTAATTTTACACAGTTTCAACACCGTGTGATAGATGGAGCATAACTCTCTCATACGTGAAAGCTGAACCACTATAGTCGAACTAGCAGAAAAGAGGAGAAGAAGAAAAGATGCTGGAAATGTCGAACTGTACTTATAGTCGACCATGCCTTTATTTATATATAAGTGAAGTACAAAGTACAAGAATTTACTGGGATACCCCTGATTAGTGATGGGACACCCAGAAGACTTAAGACATAAACAAGATTAGGCCCATTAGCAAAGGCCCAATTACAAGATAAGTTTAACATATGAATGGGCTAATAGGAATTCTTATAAGTCAAACACACTCAAGCCTTCTAACATATCATTTTAACAATACGGACTTCGATTGAGATAATTCAAGATGCGTTGGAAAGATAAGGAAAAGTAGGATTAGGATAGAGATTACCCTAAGTAGGGATTATCCTAGGAGGATAGATCCGGATCTCCAGAGGACTCTTGGTTCTCATTATCCTTAACACGCCCCCACAAGTGAAACGGCTTCGTGAAGACGTGCAGCTTGGACCTAAAGTGAAGAAATCGTGGTGTTGGAAGAGCCTTAGTCATGATACCGGTTACTGGTCCTTGGAGGAGATGAATTTCACCAGCAGCTTCTTTTTGAGAATTAGATCTCTCAAGAAATGAAAATCAACCTCTACGTGTTTGGTGCGTGCCTGAAATACCGGGTGTGCAACCAGGTGTGTGGCTTCCACATTGTCGCACCAAGCAACTGGAGGAGATGGGGAGGAGAAACCCAGATCTACAAGGAGGGACTGGATCCATAGGAGTTCTATCACCGAATTTGCAAGGGCTTGAAATTCTGCCTCTGTGCTAGAACGAGCTACTATTGCTTGTTTCTTGGCACTCCACGCAATGAGATTGTTTTCCAAATATACACAATAGCCACCTGTGGATTTACGATCATTAGGGTATCCAACCCAATCTGCATCACTAAACGCATGAAGCTGAAGGGAATTGGATTTGGAGAAATGAAGACCAACATCCAATGTGCCCTTTAAGTAATGAAGAATCCGTTTGACAGTAGCCCAATGAGCATCTGTGGGAGCATGAAGAAATCTGCAAACCTTGTTGACCGAATAGGCGATATTTGGTCTAGTGATGGTGACGTACTGAAGGGCACCTACAATACTTCTATATTTGGATGGATCCGATAGAGCTACACCTTGGAGAGTGGACAATTTGCATGACAAAGCCATGGGAGAAGCAATGGGTTTGGCATCAGTTAACTTGCTTCGCCAAAGCAAATCTAGGATATAACGTCGCTGCATTAGGACCAATCTTGTGGAAGTGGAGTAAGCTTCTATACCCAAGAACAAGTGCAGGTGGCTCAAGTCCTTTAGTTCAAAGGTCTCCGAGAGTGAGAAGATGATGTGGGAGATAGTATGAGGAGAGGATCCAATGATTAAGATGTCATCAACATAAACCAAAATAAATATGGAGACCTTACCCTCTATGTATATGAATAAGGATGGATCAGCCTGGGAGCAGTGAAAACCAAGACTGAGGAGGGTAGAACTCAGTTGAGAGAACCAGGCTCGTGGAGCTTGTCGCAGTCCGTATAATACTTTGCAAAGTTTACAGACATGAGTGGGCTTCGAAGGATCTTCAAATCCCTTGGGTAGTCGTACATAGATGTCCTCAGAAACAAATCCATTCAGGAAGGCATTGTTAACATCGAGCTGTCGGATATTCCACCCAAAGGAGACAACCAAGGCAATGACTGTATGGACTATAATTGGTTTAACCATGAGACTGAAGGTATCAGAGAAGTCAAGACCCGGTACTTGGCTGAAACCCTGTGCCACCAGGCGAGCTTTGTGACGTTCAATAGAGCCATCGAATTTATGTTTGATTTTGTAAATCCATTTTGTGCTTATTACATTCATACTAGGTTGATACGGAACAAGTTCTCAAGTAGCATTGTCCATGAGAGCTCGGTATTCCTATTGCATAGCATGCTGTTAGTGTGGATGCTTGGCCGCACTAGAGTATGTGGCTGGTTCACACTGCTCTGGTGTGATATCAGCAAGAAGGGTCATCGGAATAGGATACCTGGTAGTGGCCATTGATTTGGTGACCATGGTATGAGTTCGCTGTGGAGGTGGAGGTACAACAGGAGTAGCATCAAGAAGCTCTTGAATCAGTCTGGTTCAGCGGGGCGGCTTAGAGACAGATGATGGAGCATCGCTGGGAGCAGACTTAGCTGATGGAGTAGGAGCAGTGGGGGTCTCTGAAGGCACCGAGGGTGGTCGTTGGCGATTTGATGAGGGAGAGGAGACATCACCGGATGAAGAAGAGACGACAAGTGGTGGTGGAGCTGCGACTTGCAGGTTCGATGGACCTGTAACTGGATCGGTGGAGGTACTTGAAGAAGAACTGGTATAATTAGTACTGGATCGGTTAACTGGGTAGAGTTGCATACCAAGAAACCGAGATTCATCAAAGATGACATGCCGATTAATGTATTCACATCCATTGGAAGGATGCCAACACCTGTAACCCTTATGAGCGGTAATATATCCCAGAAAAATACACTATTGTGACTGGAATTCAAACTTGTGGCGATTATAGGGTCAAAGAAGAGGATAACAAGCACAACCAAAAATTTTGAGAAATATGTAATCCGGGATTCTTTGAAATAGTACCTCATATGGAGAGCGATTTTGAAGTGTTGGAGTGGGAAGGCGATTGATCAGGTACACTGCCATATGTGCGGCGTCAATCCAGAAAGAAAATGGGAGAGAGGCGAAAGCCAGTAGAGATAATGCAGACTCAACAATGTGTTAGTGCTTCCTTTCAACTGTACCATTCTGTTCATGAGTGTGTGGGCATGCCAACCAGTGATGAATCCCTTTAGAGTTGAGATACCGTGAGGGAGAGCAAAATTCCTCTCCCCAGTTAGATTGAAGGATTTTTATTTTTGTGGACAACAAACATTCCACATGCCATTTGAAGCTTAGAAAAGCATCCATAACTTCAGATTTCTTTTTGAGTGGGTACAACCAAGTAAATTTCGAAAAACCATCCACAAAAATAACATAATATCTGAAACCTTTATTAGAAATAGTTGGGGTTGGTCTCCATGCATCAAAATAAACGACTTCTAAAGGATGTATTGTAGTAAATTGTGAAACTGGAAGATGCTGTCCATGACTCTTACCCATTTGACATGACTCACACACAGTACTACTAGTACAACTCTAACAAGGTAAACCAAATTTGGAGATAACCTGACTCACTACTTTGAATGCAGCATGACCTAGTCGTTGATGCCATCCTGAAAAGGTAGTGCGTTCTCCGACGAAGGCAGTTGCTTTATTGTTGACTTGAGTCCCTCCAGAAAATTGATAGAGTCCATCTCTACCGGTTCCTTTGATGAGAACTCTCCCCGTATAATCCTTCACAAGAAAGAAATCACGATGGAACTCAAGATAAATATCATTGTCTTTGGTAAACTTGTTCGTAGAAAGCAGATTTTGGGTGATGTCTGGAACATGATAAATAGAATTGAGAGCAAATGTATGATTATTATGTGTCAATGATGAAGATCCGGAATGTAAAATTTGCAAACATGATCCATTACCAACTGTAACCTGATCTGAACCCATGTACTCAGACTGATTCTGCAGATTGTCTACATTTGGAGTGAGATGATGAGTGGCGCTAGAATTTGGATACCACATGGGATCAACTTCATTCCCAACACTTGTGTGATACGCAGCAGTGTTTGGGGGAGTCTGTTGTTCTCCTTGATATGATAAGTCATAGCACCTCTAGCAGATAAGAGCACCATGGCCTAGTTTATTGCAGACCTGGTAGGTGATTTGGGAAAATTTACCTTTCCCATGACCACCACCATTATTTTTTCCGCCATTTTACTGATTAGGATAACCACCACGGGTGCGACCACTGCCGCGACCTCTGCCATTACTGGGAGCGGAACCACCTCCGCGGTTGGTATTTTTGGAGTTCCAATTATTTTTATTTTTGCCATGTGCAACAAAATTTGTTGAAGGAGGGTTATCTGTGGCGGCCTAGTTGTGTTGTTCCAACAATGCCTCAAGATTTAAGAGAAGTCTCAGTACATCATTAATAGTAAGAAAATCAAAACCAGTCCTATTGGTGATCACAGTGACTATGGACTCATACTCGGTCCCAAGTCTAGAAAGAATGCACAGTATAAGGTTTTCTTTGCCTACAGGTTCAGAAATAGCTGCTAGGCTGTTGAAAATTACCTTGGCTCTCTTGACATACTCAGTTATTGATTCTGACCCTTTCTTGATGCTCTATAGCTATCATTTTAGATGGAGTGCTCTCAACCTTGAGATGGCGGAGTAGGTTGCAGATATAGCCTTCTAGACTTCGACTGATGTGGTTAAGCCAATCACTTTAGTCACCACACTCTCAGTGAGAGAAGAGATGATCCACCCGAGCACAAGTTGATCTAGCTACACCCAGTTATCATATTTTGGGTTCACCACTCTCTGTCCATCAGAGCCATCGATGTGGGTTGGAGGAGCTTGCATGGTTCCTTCTACAAGGCCCAACAACATGTGAGTTATGAGGACTGGAATCATCTGCACCCGCCAAGGTAAGTAGTTGTCGTGACTCAGCTTGATGGGAAGCGAATGAGAGATGTTGGGGACGTTGATCACTAATGTTCCCAACACAGAACTCAGGAATTGATTGAAGCTTCCTATGTTTGAGCTTGCAACTGAGTGCACACCGTTGTGAGCCACAACTCTGATACCAAGTTAAGAAAATAGAAGAACCGAAAAAACAAGAAAATAATTGAAGTAAAAATACTGTTGATGGTGTATGTGATACCATTAGACGTATGGTATTTATAGATGAGATGTTTACATTAGAGTGAAGTTCTACAAGAATTGTGAGATTGTACAGATAAAAGGATAGTCACAAGATGGATGAGTTGCATAGGATTATGATATACGGTAGGATTAGGATAGAGATTATCCTAGGAGGATAGTCACAAGATAGATCTGAATCTCCATAAGACTCTTGGTTCTCATTATCCTTTAACAGACCGATTCATGGTTTAAAGTATCGAAATTGGACATATCGTATCGTATCTTTGAAAAAGATATGGTCTGAAACGCTTGTTTCCAGGTGTTTCGAATTCCCAATTTTTTTAATAATAAAAAATATGCTAAAATCTTCCCAAAAACCCAAAATGTGAAAAAAATAAAATTAAAAAAAATAAAATTTCAACCGTTTCTAAATACCATTAAGATATGACCGAAACTAGTATGATACTTTGAACCTTGATCCGACTATGTTGTGTTAGTAGGAATTAGGAAATGGTTAATGCGTTGCTCTCGTATTTGTGGATTGTGATGATCAAAATTCTTGTTCTTGACAATAATCAAAATGTAAACTAGTTTTAAGAAATTTACCTTTATAATTATTATCGGATGGATCCTGGATGACCCTTATTAACACGGATCGGATTCGAAATTTTGAATTTGAATTGAGACAGAGGTAGTATGAAGTATCTACCTAATATCACTTCGTTTACCATCTACCAGCTTCTGAATTCTGGTCATGTCACGTCAAATAATTGCACTCGGCGGTTGTCGGCGGTGGACTGACGAGCCTACATCATCAATTGAATGCTCCGTTGGAAAAGATAACGACGAGGAGGATCTTCTTCCATCGTCAGATTGGAATCTACGTGAGACCATACCGAGGAAAAGGGCGGGTAAGGTGGGTAGCTGGATTATGCCAACAGAACACTGCTGAAGGGATGTCGAATGTGATGGTACCTTGTTGAACAGAGCAGAGATAGCTGTGAGAGCTGAGAAGCCGTCTGACGCCATCGATTATTAAAGCTAGCTGCTTAAATCAATGAGAAAGAAGAGGAAGAAACCAATGAGTTCACCCTCAACGCCGCTCATTGGAACGTACTGTTTTTCTTTTGCTACACCCGTTCCTGTTTGCGTTCTTGAGAGTCAAACTTCAAACGTTCAGATTCCAAGTTGAGGACTGAGGTTCGTCTTTCTTTATCTTACGTTTCGTTTTTCTTTCTGCACATACAGGTCTCAATACGAAGCTAACATTCTTAGTTTTTCTTTCTACTAGCGTGATTATGAATTTATGATTTCTTTTTATTTTTTTTTGTTTTATTTGAGAAAGAATACCCATTTCCTTTTAAAGCGACTTAGTTTTTTTTATTTTTTTTCCTATTTCACTTATTCTTTAAACAGTTTAACAGAGATGGGGAAGAGGTGTGACAACTGCAGATCGCAAGACCAATTTGTCTATTGGACTCACTTTCAGTCCAAACAGTTCTTTCAGATCCTGCATGATGATTTCGACCTGAAACTTGTAAGTTGAAGCCTCCTCCTCCTCCTCCTCCTTTATCTCTCTCTCTTTCTCTCTCTCTCTCTCTCTCTCCATCTCTCTCTCTCCATCTCTGTTTCTCTCGGACACAAAGGTTGCATGAATTTGCAGGTCATTCCCGCCAAGTTCGTGAAGAATTTGAAGGAAGACCTTTCGAGCCCCGTCACTCTCAGAGGTCCAACTGGGAAAGTTTGGAAAGTTGGGCTGGTGAAAGCCGGGGATTCTTTGTTCTTTCAATACGGTTGGGATGAATTCGTGGAAGATCATAACCTCGAAGAGGAGGATCTCTTAGTCTTCAGGTACAGTGGGAGCTCGACTTTTGATGTTTTAATGTTTGACCAACTTAACCTCTGTGAGAAGGAGTGCTCGTATTTCGTGGGGAAATGCGGATGTGAAAGGAAGGAAAACACAAGGGATGATTCTATGGAAGCGGACTTCATGCATTCATCTGTAGAGCGTGGAAGAAGAGGAGGAAGAAGACGTAGATTCACTTCATCAACCAAGACTAACCAAGGAAGAAGAGGGAGAGGAAGAGGGAGAGGAAGACGTACGTTCATTTCACCAACCAATGAGGAAGAGTTGAAAACATCAGAACCAGGTATTCGACGCAATTCGTCTCAGTCTAACGACAGAAGTGTTAGAAAAGAAGCTTCCGCATCTGTCCGTGACTGTGCCAAACGGAAATTCATGGGGGAAGAATCCGCTGGTAAGACTAATCAACCCTTGTTTGGCTTATCCAAATTGATGCCTTTTCTCTGTTTGGTTAAATTATTCCAACTTCCAAAAAAGGCTCTGGCGAGTTGAAAGTCCATTACCCTGTTTAAGGCAGAAAATACTCGAAACAGCTTCGGAGAATTTCTGTATCTATGGCTTTTGTTTTTGCCCATCTCCGCATAAGGACTCTTGGAAAGTTCTTATTTACAGACATGATAACTTTCCTTATGACTGTTAAATGCTCTTTGCTGACTTACGGTTCTTTTTCTTTTTTTTTTTTTCTTCTATTCTGAAAGATTCTTTTGGTGATGATGGAATACCTGAAAATTTGAGCCGGTCGTATCAGCTGCATTTCGTCTCAAAACGACGGCCTGTAACTGAAGTTGAGAAAAAGAGGGCCTATCAATTGGCTTCTGCAGCTTCAGCGTCGACTGATCATAGAAGTTTCATTGTGGTTATGCGACAAACCCATGTTTGCAGGAGATTTCATTTGGTAAGTTATGTTTTCTGATTCATCTCCTAAGCGTAATTTTTCCTCTTTAAATCTGACTTTATTAAACAGCATCGAAAATAGATCGAGAAGCAATCCAAAAGAAAAAATGAAAACAAGAGAAACCACATAAAAGACTACAACCTAATACTAGCTTTAGCAGAAATAGATAGCCCCTGTGGTAATCTAATTCACTACATACATCTTTTAGAATATGTGAAGTGTCACTGTAGGCAAACCATAATTCCTTAATTAATGCATCTCTGACTCAGATTAGTAGTAGCATTATGAATCAACTCCAAGCAATCGCTTGTCATTGTTTTACTTCAGCTTTAATTTTTAACAAAAAAAGATTCTTTTCGTTCATTTTTGTCCACTGACATTGAGACAATCATGCCCTAATGCTATGCTTGGTTTGATATAAACAAGGGATAAACAGATAGTTGAGGGAAAGTTCTTAAAATTCCCTATGAACTTTCTCCCTACTTTCTGTTTTTATTATTCTTTCAAACCAAACACAACCTAGGAGTTAGTTTATCATCTAAATTATATGGTAAAATTTTAGTTATTTTATGTTTACATCTAGAAAAAATCAGTTTTTTTTTTCCTTTTTTTTGTAATGATGGTGTAAAACTTTAGTTAAAATCTTTTTGTTTCACGTGGCAACATCCAACAGCTTATTTGCAATTGGACGCATTGGATGACATATAAAGAGGGATGCTATTGGGCTTCCCCTTTTCATGGGACACCTTTTGAATTTTTGAATGCCCCCTACTGGAATAACCCAGAAATCCATTTTAAGAACTTCTAGAATTCTTACTTCTGTCTACTAAACTGGTGGTTGGACTTGTTCAATAGGTGGTTCAGTCAACAATCGGCATTGGTGTGTGATAAAAGGCACTGTCATTGGTCTTTACACTAATTGTTCCTTTCTCCTCTTGCAGACAATCCCAGTTCTTGATGTGACTTACAATTTCCCCCCGAGAAACCAAGATGTCACCCTCTCACTGAAAGGAAAAACTTGGCCTGTCATCTTCAAATACCAAACAAATCCCCTAAATGGAGGATTTGCAAGTGGGTGGGCAGATTTTGTATTTGACAATAACTTAGAAGAAGATGATGTATGTGTCTTTGAAGTTGTGGGTGGAAGAAACAACTCCATTCTTGTAAACGTTCAAATTTTCCGGGTTGTAGAAGCGGTGACTCCCTTGAGGAAGGTCAAGTGTCCCTCGAGAAGAAGTGCCAAAAGACAAGTAAAGGAGGCCTTGGACAAGGTAGTAGTCCCATGTGATTTCTTAGATTAATCACGTCTGGTGTTTCTGTTTTAAGATGCATGTATGTAGCTTTTGGTATGAATACTTTTTTTTTTTTTTGAAAACATGACAGTTCTTGAGATTACATTTTGTTGAATACCTACCTACCTGCTGATGGTGTTGTTTTGTTTAGCTTAGGTTTATGGCATTTGTAGTTGGTCTTGTATGATTTACTTATGGTCTAGTCTAGTATCTCTATTCAGCGACAGCTTAATAACTGAGGCCGTATTTGCTGTTTTTTTCCTGTTTTCTCAAACCAAAACAGCCTAAACAAATGTGCTCCTTGGAACCAGAGAATTTTGAATGCAAACTTCGCAATGAGAAATCATGAGTGCGGGAAAACTGGGGTGTTCAGTCATAATTGATCATATTGCCATGTTTGTGTTTGCACTTTGCAGCAGATCCTGTGTCGTGACCGTATCAAACTATGGGTTGTCTTGATCACTGATGGAAAAGATCTTAACAAAGCTTCTAGCTTGCTTTTATTTGTTCTGCTGCTTGGGTGTCGTAATTTTATTTCACATAACATACTATCACTAGTTTTCAGCAATCATGTCCTGCATCCTGCTGTCATCAAGGTTCATGTTTGATTGGTCGATCCATTTGGTATTTCCATTGATGATGCCTATCAAATATCATTTGGTTTTGCCTCCGTAGATCTGGACTCCCTGAAAGAGTGAAGTGTTTCACTTCTGTAGCTAACTGGATCTGTAATCCTCCTCTTTGGCCCAGGTTAATCAAGAGGAAATGTAATCTCTGTAACAAGAGATTAACAAAGAGGAAATGTAATCTACCTAGAACCTTTCAAGCACTTTTAATGGGTTAAGAGTGCGAGGAAGATAGGAAGTTTATACAAGGCATTCGAGGTCTCTTCCCCTGCATGTAAGACGGTAGCCAGATAATTTTCATTATTTTTTCCATAGGTAGAAAAGGGGAGAAGAACAGAATGCGAGTTATTCAAAGGTTTGCAAGTTTTACTCAACTTAAGGAATGTGAATAGATTCCATTAAGTTGGCTACAGATAATGGTGTCACTATTCAAGCTTGTCCAAAGACCTCGGTGATTTCATTTGAGTGAGCTGAATCACTTGATTAGACTTCCAGTATATCGTCCTCTAGGAACTGTTTCGCTTGTGATTACTTTTATAGGTTTTTGGAATGGCGGTGTTTTTAATTCTCAACATTTGTACCTGAATTTTAAAATTGGAATAGCTATTTATTAAAACCTAATGTGCCAAGTTGGCACTTTCATGCTTTCTTTTTCTTTTTCCATTATTAATTATATCTCTTCATTAATTAAACCATTAACTCTTCCCTTCATTTTGCTAATTGTCTCCCCTCTCCATTACTTAATTAAATTGCCTAAAATTCATTAATTTTATCTATATCTATATCCATTTCAATTAATTGTAATTTCAAATACATATTAAATATAATTGTATTAAACTGTAATTATTAATTAAGAATAATTATTTTGAAATGATAATATTCAATGATATATAATTAGGCTAAATAATCTATTTTCATTTAAAAGGTAATTAATTTTTAAGTTAATTAATTAATTAATAACTTTACATTAAAAATAAATATTATTTACTTTACCTAACAAATAAAATTGGTGTTTACTGAATTGGAGGTTTAATTGTTTGGGTTGGATGAATCAAACTATGACGTGTCATCCATCTATATGTATAAGGTCTACTTGTATTATTTTTTTACAAATAAGATCCAAAAGTTGAAATTTGAGGTCAACAAGTGAGGTTTTGTTTTTTGTTTTTTCTTTTGTTTTTTATCTGTATAGTGGGGTTACAAAGATCGTGAAAAGTTAACCAAAATAAAGAAAAGATTATCCCTAGCACAGAATTAAATCCTCTAGAAGTTCTCAATAAATCGTATATTGTAACAAGTGACGAAATGATTGCGTCAAAAGGGTCAATGGTTTAACTACCCAAATCAAGCATGGTGGGCTTTAGGAAGTCCAAAATTAAAAATAGGCTAAAGTGATGGTTTGAATGGTTCAATTGTTTGAGTCAATAATATGTTGAAAACATTAAATGAATCATCATAAAAATTATAATCTATTTATATTCTATTTGAAAATAATAAACATTAATTAACCATAGTAAAAATAATTTAGTAAGTTACTTAAATAAAGTAGAAATAATTATTAATTATTTTTATTCATATAAAAAAATATTTTAATTAATAAAAGGAATAAGATAAGTTAAAAACTAATATCAAAATTATCCAACAATTTTTAATTTTGTAATTAATATTACTAGTTTAAAACCAACTTAAGATCCATTGAAAAACAAAAACTTAATATAGTTAATTAAATTTAAAGGATTAATAAAAACTAAAATGTAATAATAGTTTAAAATATATTTTAATTAATTTATAATCAATTTGAATATCATTTAAAATAGAGAATTATAAAAACCTCCTTAGTTTTGACCTTAACAAAAACCTCCCCTATTGTTTTGAGAAAAAGGTGCAAATACCTTCCTTTTGTTAGCCATTCCAAATAAAAAAAATGCTGATGTAATGCATTATTTTTTTAAATCCAAATTTTCCCTTATCCAAGATCATTCATATGTAAATTTACTAAAATACCTTGAAAAAATATTTGATTCCTTTTACTTCACTTCAGCCTTTTTTACCTTCAACTAAGATGATGGGGAGAATACTCTTTGAAAGTTGTATGGTAAAATAAATTAGGGTATAATGCTTTAGCATTGATTAGGGTATATGCTAATTTTATTGTTTTTGTTACTGAAAAGCCAAGGTTAATGAGGTATCTGCACTTTTATAAATTGTTATAAGAAGAGGTTTTTTTTTTTATAATTTTACCTGAAACTTATATAAAAATAATAAAAAAATCAGTGAAAAGTAATAAACATAATTAGCATTCAGATACAAATAAATAACACAAATGTATCTAGGCCATTGAAAATTGGCCACTTGCATTAAAGCGTGCTTCTTAGGTTGTGATCAGATAAATTAACTAGACATAACCCAAAAAATAATACTTCAATTGGATTTAGATGGGCACAGCTTAATTGAAAAATGTCATGAAACTTTAATTTCAAATTTTCTTATAAATAAAGTTCGTGCCTCGCATGGGTCCTAATTACTACATATTATAGTTCAAAAAAATAACCACAAGTTGAACATCCACTTTTAATTCATATTATTTGGTTTTGGATGTTTTCATTGATTAGTTCCTTATTTCTTCTCTCTCTCTCTTGAATGTGATAATATGATGGGGTCGTGTTTGTCGTTGGGGTGCAAGGTTTGGGCATAGGATTTATTAAAATTTGAATGGGCCTTGCCTCCAAGTTTGTGCCCGATGCTATGTAAATTGTTCAAATTAGGATTTATTGCACCCCTCGGGTGTAAGTTGGCCTAAGTTAAGTTTTTGATGATTTGACCTAGGGGTGTTCACAGGTCGGGTTGGGTCGGTTTATTGGGGTTTTCCCAACCGACCCGACCTGGTCGGGTTACCTGAGGTGGAAACCGAAACCAACCCACTGATAGGTCAAACCGACCTGGTCGGTTTGAGTTGGGTTGGGTCGGTTTCGGTTTTGCTCCTGTACAAAAGGACACCTAATTGAATTCTAATTGTAATTGCCTAATGGGTTGCCTATTTGGTGTAAAAGATTATAGAAAGTTAGAAAGTAGGATAGATTGCCTATTCTAATTGTAATTGCCTAATGTGCCTTCTAATTCTAGTAGAAGACTAGTTATAGTTAAGTAGGAGACTACTCAAACTAGGAACTACCGAACTAGTAGAAGACTAGTTCGGTTCGGGTCGGATTGGTTTCGGTTTTTACACAAGAAAACCGAAACCGACCCGATATATCGGTTTATATATTTTCCCAACCCGAAACCGACTGGTACTGATGAAAACCCGGCTGACTCGGATTGGGTCGGTCCGGATTGGTCGTTTGATCAGGTTGGGCATTCTTATGAACAGCCCTAATTTGACCTATAAAGAAATTTGGGCCGTGGGCTTGGATGCCTATTCTACATGTTCTTTGGTAGGCAAATGGGCTACACAACAAGGATAGCCCTCCCCCAAATTCCTAGACCCCTACCAAACCGTGGTGAGGTCTCCAATACAACTAGCAAGTTAATATTAAAACCACTTAAATGTCTTTATCAATTTTAACATGCCATAATATCAAGGTTCAAAATATATTGCATTGGTGTGTTGTTTGGATTTTAAGGGTCGGTCCATCAATATGTTAATTGTGAAGAGAAGAGTTTCATTTTAATGATATAAGGGCCCATTTGGTTCATAGGGGTTTGGGACCGGAATCAGAATGGCCCATTACGATTTCAACTGTTTGATTGGATAAAATTGGAATACCATTTCCATTTCTAGTGGAGACATTTGCCATTCCCTCCCCCTCCCTTGGAAATGGGATCTCATTCCAGTTGATTGTAGATAATATTATTATGGCAAAATAAATAATTCACCACATACTAACTCAAAAGAAGGGAAGCGGATAAATAGCAATCAAGTTGGACATGTCAAGGCATTTGAGCGAATGGGCTGAAAATTTCTTCAAGTAACAATGATGAAGATGTAGTTTCCTTCTAAATAGTGTAATCTAGTCGCTTATCTTTTCAATCAAAGATAGGAGAAGGAATGTATGAACATTTTCATCTAAATTAGGGTTTAAGGCACGGTGGCCCTCTCTCCCCATACCTCTTCATCTATCTTAGGTATGGAAGTACTCACCTAGCTTCCTAACCGAATCTCAACTGATAGTTCTCTCCAAGGTATTACTCTGACTTGTAATGGATCAACCATAACTACACATCCGTTGGTTGCTGATGATGTGATTTTATTCTGCAAGGATGAACCCTCACAAGAGTCTTGTGCGAAGTCTTAAAAAAATTTGAATCTCTTTTTGGTCAGTGCATTAACCAGAGAAAATCCTCTCTAATGTTCAGTAAGATTTGTCACTGGACAACATCACAAATTTCTCTCAAAAAACTTCTGTTGGGAACAAAGTACCTTGGTGAACCTCCTTTCTCAATTCGGAAGAACAACTCTAATTAAATCAATCATCAAAGCACTCTTAATCTACCCTATGTTGACTACCATTTTTCCAATCAAGATTCATTCAGCCATTGAGAAGCTCTCACACGACTTCTGGTGGTATGACATGAGGAGGAAAACAAAGCACACTCTCTCGTGGTCCAAATTATGCCAACCGAGAATGGTGGG